TGTTTTGTTTCTACTTCAGCTATTTGAGTCAACCAATTTCTCCTTGGATTTCGTTTTATGAAATATATTAACCAGCAAGTCAATAATTTCTCCTCCACCAGATTATCTTTATGGCAGGACACTTAATCAATATTAATAAGAATTTTAATTATGATAATGTCCATGTATAAATATTCTCGTGGTAAGATCTCGTTAGCAGGCTTAAGATTAAAGCCTTCTAACAAGATCTTGCTCGTAACATATTTTAAGGAATGAAACAGATCCACAGATTCGTTTCTGTACACACACTGAAGAAGCTAATGATTATCTAATATCTGATTGGTCTACACACGCAAAAATAAACATACGCTACAATGACAATATCTCCGTTGTAATATATGCCAGCAATTACACCATAAAAATAGTGAGCGAACAATATCTTCATTGTTTATATATATATATATATATATATATATATATATATTAACTTTAAGGTTCCATTATAATAATTTATTTCACCAGAGCCCTTTTAAGGGACGCTGGATCATCAGATAACACTTCCAAAAATGAAATGAAAGATGAAATGAAAATTCACACTTTTGACGGGTAGTATTAAGTTTATGTAATTTAACAGAGAGGGTAGTGAGGAGTGGTGTGAGAGACATGGTCGAGTTTAGAGAGGGTTTATTTTTATATTTCTTTCAATCGTACTTAGTATTAGGGGAGGAGGGACCAGACCTTGACTTATTTAAACGGTTAACTTAACAGAAGTGATATATTGAAATGGGAGGGGAGAAAAAGAAAAAGAAAAAAGAAAGAAGGGGAAGTAATATATATATATTTGTGCATATAGGCAGAAATCCTTCATTCACGCACGTTTCATTGAATATGACAGACAAGGTGCTTTCATCTAGTTTTATTTATACAATTTCTCATGTGATCTTGTATTATTTTCTTTTCAGAGGATAGATTATATAAAAACTGTCCAATTGTTCTTTCTTTCCGAACGCTTTTGGCTATACATTTAGCCATTCTCAATTTTTAAATATATGAACTGTTAACAAGAAATAGACTGTTGTATGTATGTATTTATACATTTTTTTCATTTTCAGAACACGGTCAAGATACTGTGTCCGAGTTGACATTATTAAGTGTTGTTTTTTTGTTTTTGTTTTTATTAATAAGGCTTCCATTATTTTTAGCCTTAGTCTTTTTTACATGTAGAAAATGCTATTATATTTGTGTTGTCAACATGTCTACATGTAAAAAAAAGGCTAAAAATTATTATAAAATCACATTAGAAATTGTATAAAAAACTAAATCAAAGTACCTTGAAGGGTAAATTGTCGCCTTTATTTTTAATTACGCGCATGCGTGTTGTTTGCTTTTGATTTTGTCGACTACACAATATAGTAGGTTCAATTGAGAAAGAAAGAATGCAATGACACAATTCACTCTGCCAGAAAAAAAATGAAATGCTGTACTGCTTGGCATTCGCACATGAAGGTCCAATACAAACATTTCAGAGTGTTTGGGTGTCAATCTGAGGACAGTACACAGGATTTGGAAAGAGCTGGATGAGTCTAATGGTGATTACCATGGCTTTTGGAGTGATCACTAGCGACGTTATGCCTCCATTCATCTTACCACAGGGCACCAGTGCCTTGAGAAGTTAGTTCTGCCCTTGGTCAAGAGGGTAGCTATTTGAAGACCCTATAACTGGCAACAGAACTCTGCACCATGACACACAAGCAGGAGTACTCAGTCATGGCCGTTAGACAATTTCTATGACTGCATTACCCCTTATATCTGGCTACCTAACTCCGCAGGCTGTAACCCGCTTGTTTATTATGTGTGCGACGCAGCTGGGTGAGAGAGCATCAAAACTCTTTGTAGCATGAAAGTTGAACCGAGGGAAAGGATTATGGCCGCATTCACCAACTTAAACAAGGGGAGCGTTCAGAAGAGCTGCAGGAGATTCCGATATCGTCTGGAGGTCGTGGTTGAAGGCAATGGCGATTTTATTGAACAGATATTTTTGTGCAATTTTGGTAAATATGACTGTTAAAATGAGATGTCAGTGTTATTTTTCATTTTTGCATAATTTAGACGACAATTTACATATCGGATCCTATATATATATATATATATATATATATATATATATATATATATATAAGCTTGTGAGAGAGAATCTACCTACCAATGTTTCACCTAACGCATCTTCAGGGCCAGTTGTAGCCTGAAAATCCATTAGGTGAAACTTTGGTAGGTAGGTTCTGGCTCACTAGATTTTTTAGATTTTGTTCTACTTGGAGTATTGACCACTTTTACGTTTTTTACTTAATTTATATTGTCGGTGTTTTTTTTTTTTTTTTTTTTTTTTTTTTTTTGACTAGGCATTGCGGTGCTGATTGATGTCGGATGTCTTTAGTCTTTTCCTATTTTACTTAATTTTTTTCCCTGATATTGGTTTGTTCAAATATATTGTTTTTTATTTACAAATCGTATTATCTGTGTGTTTTACAGCACGAATTTGGTTATTAAATATATATATATATATATATATATATATATATATATATATATATATATATATATATATATATATTATTTTAATAACTAAGCTTTCACATCACGGAATAAATATACTGAATTTAAAAGAACTCTAGACATTTTTCCTTATGAATTCTTGCGACCAATACTTCAGAAGAAAGATTCGTTGGTGGTGTAATTTGGGACGAGTCATAAAATATTCAAAAGAAGTAAATAGTAGAAGAGGTGGGGAAACTTAATTTCGGAACACGACTAAAACAATTTATTAGTAAAACATAATTACCGAATAAAAGATAAATTTTCCCAAGAAAGGTTTTTTATTTCTACCCTTGTCCATCGTGCGTTAAAGATTTGGTTCTTCAACAGGAATCAGGAACTAGAGAAAAACCGTAATATTTTTATTGATAAACGTTTTCCCATTAATGTTATCAAACGCACTATTGAACAGAAAATTAAGCGCTTCAAGAAGCCAGTAGTTTTTGGTCCTTCATTGTGTCCCCTATATTTAAAACTACAATGGCTAGGTAGAAATAGTCAAGTACTCTCTGTGTATTACATCAAGTGTTTCGATTGTGAAATAATGTGGTATTTTTTAGACCTGTTAGGTGTTCCCATCTTTCGTTAAGGATGGTCTGTCCTATTTACAAAATAGTTACGTGGTATATAAATTTAAATATCAGTGCAATGCTGCATACATAGGATGGAGCAATCAGAGATTGGAGACACGTGTCGTTTAATTCGTTCCTGCAAGTACAAGAGTACGTAACTCTATTCAATCTTCTAATGCAACCTAAGCAGTACATAATTCGACAATTGGTCAACAGGTTCTGGATAACCCTGACTGTTCACTTCAATATACAGATGATTGTTTCTTTATCTTACATAGAGTTGGGCCACTCATATTGAAGATTTTAAGAGCGGTTTATATTAAAATACAACAATTCGGTAATTATGTTTTACTAATAAATTCTTTCAGTCGTGTTAAGTTTCCCCTCCTCTTCTACTATTTAGTTCTTGTGAATATCGTCTTATGTCTCGTTTGAAATTACGCCAACGAATCCTTCTCAAGAACTGCTGGTCTAAGAATTCTTAAGGAAAAAATGTCTACAGTTCTTTTAATCAGTACATATATATATATATATATATATATATATATATATATATATATATATATATATATATATATATATAGTGTATGTGTGTGTGTGTTTTATTTAACCCCAGCCAAGGCGATAATGTCACTAAGATGCAAGGATATTTAGGAGTGGACCAGAATGCAGAATGAGAAGAATTTAGAAGGAACACGAAACGCAATCCTAAACAGGAAACGAGATAAACCTCTAAAACCACGAATGATTGTGGATGGGGTAATTTATAAACCTATATGCCAGCATTATCAAGTACCCCATAGAGAAAAACAGTATGGTCAAAAACTACATCTAGTTTAACATGATAGTGTTACTTTTCTCTGGGATTTCACCATATATTCTCGATCACAATACGGTATTGGTAACAGGAGTTGTTTTTTTCTTCTTTTTTTTTTTTAGAAACCATTTGTCATCCATTGACCGAACACCCAGTGCTATTATCGATTGAAATTATAAAATCTTTCTATGAGAATATATTTTCAAGAAATGTTATCGCTTTTTCCAGTATTGATGGGGAATTACTTCCTAAGGTTAAGTTTGAAGTAGTGAGGAACGTTTTAATAATATTAGTATTTTATGTTCCAGTTAATTGTATTATTCATTTTAGTTGTATTATTCAATTAATTAATAATTCTGTTATTTGATACATTACTTACTTTTTTTAAATTCAGTCAGGCAAATCCACCAGATTTGCAGAAGGATGGTCCTCTCTAAGATCTACAGCATTCACGCACTCGAAGCCCTTTTTAATCATTGCTTTGGGAAAGGGTTGTATACAGTTGACAGTACAAACATTTCAAACCTGGTTTGCCACCATTCATAACATCCATATGAAAGTCTCGATGTGACAAGGCTATTTAAGATGTACTTAAGTCAATGTGTGTTTTTTTTTTATTTTATTGAATACTGCGGTGTGTGGTGTAATTACGTTTAACGCAGCTTATTCTGTGTTCAATTTTCTTATCTCCTATACAAGATTGTTTTTATAACTGACCTAGACACCGAGGTATATATATGATTATAACATCTGATGAAAATATTTCCACAAAAGAATGTTAAAGCAACTCAAAACATAACGATCGGAAAATAGAAATTATAAAAATGTAGAATTTAAAGGCCACCATTATTTAAGTAACGCTAGAAATGTTTGAGAATACTTATATAAATATGAAAAAAAATCGCTGGAAATCCATTTTTGCTTTGAATAAAATTTCATAAAAGTTAATAAAATCATTGTTTATATACAAGGAAGTCTTTGAATAATTTCGTTAGACCCAAGATGAAAGATTTGGCAAATGGTTGTATCAAAAGACCAAA